AGACTCATCATCCTGGCATTCTTGGTTGAATCTAACCATTCCCTTTTCCCAGGACCTGTCTGCACTGCCCTATCTGCTTTGAATTGGATTGTATGGCAGTGTAGACTCATATAAGCCATTTCAAAACAGACAATATGGAATATCTCCTTTGATAATATGGAATATATGTCAGTGTAGAAGGGTCACTACTGCCTTCTATCCAAACAACATTTTATTATGGTCCCAAGACCCCTATTGCACCATATGTGTGCAAGGTAAGCAGGTAATAAGATTAAGTACATCCGGTCAATTGAACACAAAAATTGATAAAATTTATAACAGTTAAATACTGCTTAAAATACATGTTGGCTAAAAACATAGGTAAAAGACTACAAGAAGTGCTGCAGTGTGTCTAAATTTGGAAATTATCTAATCCTGGCTGCCTCAGAAAGAAATCGGCAACCGCCAAGGTCACATGGGGGAGGTTGTCACTAAGTAGAAACTTCACATAAAATTTCACTGGCCTTCTACCCATCCTTAGCCCTCCCTATCTCTGCCCGTTTCTTATTTTCTATAGCAGTGGTTAGAATAGCATTTCTTTTTTTCCATGGTTCTCACATCTCTCCTGAAAAAAATATAGCATGTAGAGAAATGTTGTCTATGGCCTCTTCTACACTCTCATATAATACAGATTATCAGTTCAGATAATCTGGATTTTCTATGGTGCTGTCGAAGGAGGCAGAGTTTGGACTAGTCAAATATTTAGATATCTTGTGTAGAAAATGCTAACTTTTGATTGCAGATGTGGTTTGCTGCTCTAATATAGTCTGGCAGTCTGCCTGTAACTTTATTTCTGACTAACTTGTTTTGTATTTTGTGGGTGTTAAGTTGGCATGGATGGCATAATGAACAGAATGAAGTTAGATATCTAATACATAATAGATCAGATTTTGATTCATACTGGTTGGTTTTTATTAAATATGTTTTAGAGAGTGAAAAAGGAAAAAAAATACAACTTTGTTGGTCAGGAATTTGGATATGACATTTGACTCATAAATTTATGGCAAAGGAAATGATACTTGTTCAGGCCTTGGTAGTGGGGTTATGTGTTTGTAAAATGTTCACTGTTTCATGTTGTTTAGACTTTAAGCTGTTAATATATAGATTTTTTTTTAAAAAAAGATACCTAATTCAGAAACATTCCGGGTGAGGGTTCTCCTCCAGGGGCAAACCAAGAATGGGCAACTTGGAAGTCACTGAACAAACTCAGAAGTGGAGTGGACAGATCAAAAGACAACCTGGCAAAATGGCACTACCTAAAAGAATCCCACATCTTATGTGACTGTGGAGTAGAACAGACAACTCCGCATCTGTATGCTTGTCCACTATGCCCTGCCTCATGTAGAGAGGAAGAATTGTTGGAGGCTACAGAAAATGCCATTGCTATTGCCCGTTTTTGGTCAAAAGATATTTAGCTACCTGTGCTCCTTCTATTTTTATCAGTTTTATACTAATTTATGCAATGCTTTTGATACACAATAAATAAATTCCGAGTGAGCATCAAATATATTTAATTTTTGATTGAAGTATTGCCATGGTCATTATGTGAGCAGTTATTTGTGTTAATAAATCATTGCTTTCGTTGTTGTTCCTATACTTGTTTAATTTCTCCTTTATAGTTGGGAAAATACACTACCTCATCAGAAGGGGTGATTTTAGCATACTAAGACAGAACACCGTCACCCTGTATCGGGACAGGACCGTGTGACATTTGGATGAGGCCACACCCACAACAGGGGTGAAAGCATTTCTTGAATGCTTCCACCCCAACTCGGAAGGTCCAATGGAGCCAGAACAGGCCTCCCCACAAAGGTGATTTTTTCCCCATGTAATGGGGAAAACGTTGTGGAGAGGGAGCTGTACACAGGGCAACGGATTCACACCAATACTCCCTCTTTCCTCACAGAGGCCCGGCAAAGTGGGGTACTTTGCCTGGGCTTTCTGATTAGGCTTATAGTATCGTAGTGGCATGACAACCATACATTCCTTGCTGTAGCCATGGCGTAATGATCCTGCCATAGCAAAACCATTGTATTCCCTAGTAAGATTTCACACAGAATTATGATCATCTCTTAAGAAATTATAGTTTGGCATAAACACTCTCTCCCACACCCATTATTTTGCACTTCTCTTACTTTTTTGTCAGCAAATTGCTTTTTTAGCTATCTAAATCTTCACTGCTTTTGTGGCCTTTAGACCCCTTTTTGTTGCTGTAAAAGATAGTCTTTTTAAAAAGTGGCAAGTCACATTATGATGATTTATGGTATTTTTCTTTTAAAAATACTCCTTCAGCTCATAGAGGTCTATATACAACGCTGGCTTATAACATGAATGCTAGCCTTATCCTGTGAAAATGCAATGTGTGTATATATCAATGCATTAGAACGGCAACTTTAAAGATTTTGAAACAGAAAATGCAATAAATATTGGTTAGTTGATGCTGTCTTTTCTTTTAAAAATCGACAATACAAAAATAATACAGTTTAAAAAAACCAACTCATGCTCATGTTTTGAAGTGGAATGTGGAGGAAGAAGCAGTTATTTTTCAGTTTACTTTTATTCAGAAAGGGGGGAGAGCTTTTGGCAGTGTGTTCTTCTCTCATCATACTTCTTCCCCTTCTGAAAAAAAAATTGGATGTTATTTATCTCATGTGGAAGCCACACACACTTCATGTCCGATAGTCTTGCCATTTCTCCCAGCATTATTCTCTGCTCATGACTATGTCATTCTGTTGCCTGAAGTGAATAACAAGACAGATGCCCCTCAATTTCAGGTAGAAAATTTAATAGGAATGGCAGTTGAATATTACTTCAGCACTGACATCAAGGCAGCACACCTGAGGCCAATAGATCTCCTTAGAGGATGTACACACATCTTCTAGAGCAGTGGTTCTCAGCTTGTGGGTTCCCAGGTGTTTTGGCCTACAACTCCCCAGAAATCCCAGCCAGTTTACCAGCTGTTATGATTTCTAGGAGTTGAAGGCTAAATATGGGGACCCACAGGTTGAGAACCACTGCTCTAGATTGATTTGGAGCATACATATTTCTCATCATCGCTCCTCACCTCCCTCAACATCTCCTGGTGGAGACCCCTGCATCAGATACGCTGACGGTAAAGACATAAATCCTGGCTTGATTTGTCCTTATATGGGAAATGGAAAAGTCCTTTAAATTTTTCTTGGTAGAAGCTGCAACAAAACTCGTGGCCTCCTGAAGAAAAATTGTCTATCTTTGTTTGTGAAAAATGTGATTAACCATTGCCATGTTGTACAACTACTAAAGGTGTTTGCACTGGAAGGGTTGTTTGTATCTTTGTGACTGTCAGGCTGCCCCATGCCTGCTGTGAATGTGTATGTGCTTGGCTTCAAAAGAGAAACAGGAGTTTTAACAAGTTACATTTTGCACAAAGACAATAGAAAATGACTGCAAAAGAGAAATGGCAAGTCAACTGGAGGATGATTGTATTGCAGTCTTATAGTGCTGACAATAAGTTTCATGTGAAATTCCAGGAACAGAATGCTTTTTTGACACCCCCGCCTAATGGTTGGGCCAACCCTACTCTTGAAACTCATGGGCCATCCAGACAGCCCATTTATTGTGAAAACTTCTGGTGTTCTGGCTAACCCGCAATTAATTCACCACAAACCAGGAAAACCCTACTGTGGCAAATTAATAAGATAGTGGATTTATTCTACGGGATAAACCCACTACTTGTGATGTCTGGAAAACTTACCCAGCTGCCATTACAGTCTTGCCAGAGCTTTCTCATCGTGTAGAAATGACGTGCCAGGAGAGCGATTTTAGGGGTTGTAGGGTTTTGGATTGGGGCTTAGGGTGTCCCGGTGTTGTCCTGGGAAGTTCCAGCACACGCTTTCTGGGGTGTGTGTGAACAGCCCTCCAGGAACATTTGTGTTTTTTTAAACATGGATGCTCCTGGGATAAAGGGCTGTCTGGAAGCGCCCTGAGATCAAGCCTTTTTACTCCTCTTACCTTCTGCTATGAAAGGAGAAATATCAACAGTTTAATTTCTTCATGGGGATCGTCTAAAGAAAGAGCAACAATTCCACCCCTAATAGCAAAGCATAATTAAACTTACTACTAACATCATGCTCATTACATGAAACATTTCTACTCCAGTACCAGCTGCTAGTATCAAAGTCTGCTTGAACTCATCCTCAGAAGACAGCAGTGCATTGGTGCATGTTATTAGAAACAGGCAAAGACCCATGAAATTCATTCCACTTTACATGACTTCCTTTTCTCCCCTTCCTCAAAACTGTCTTGTAGATTTTGCAAGAAGAAAAGATTCAAAAGCATATTTGTCCCATTCACAGGACACCAAGCTGTTTGCTGTGAGAGTTGGGAGGGTTTTTTTAAAAAAACAAATAGTCAATATAGAAGTGTTGCTTGGATGGAGGCCATACTATGAGATGGAGGAACCAATCCTTTCTTGCTTTAGTCCAATTCTACCTCCACCACCATCCTAGTGGCTGCTTCTTGCTCTTCGGAAGAAAGATACTAATGACAGAAATGAAAAACGAAAAAGGCAGGTGCCAGTTATGTGTTTCATGTCTCATCTGTGCATGGAATGTGCCCAAAAACCATAGCTGGACATTGTTGTAACAAATTGATATTTCTTTTACTCTTCATATGTAGCATCCTGGGGTACCATTATTCCATACTTCTAATTACAATATGGTTCATTCACTTGCTAAAATCAGGTGAATTCAAAAGGAGGAAAGGATGTAATTCAAAAGGAGGAAAGGAAAGCAAAAAAAAAGGACACAAAATGAATCCATGTGAACAATTAGGTGGAAAACTCTGATAATTTGCCAAGAAAGACTGTATAATAATAACATCAATTGACAACATCCAAAGCTTCTTAAAATAAGCTTGCTCCCGAGACCCTTGCAATTTTATATTGCGAAATCAGTAACACATTTATTATGGTTGGTATGCAGGTGCTGCTTCTCGAAGGGAAACCCGGATGACTCCTCTGATGCCAACTCAGGTCACCAGGGTAGCAGCTATCTCTTCACCAGCTGTGACATTCATGGCAACCAATTTGGTGGATCAGACATTAACAGGTGTGTTTATGTTTCACTATACTGATTATACTGCTAAAGCATATGTTCCATATTTGCATACTTTTCAATCAAATCAAGCTTTCCACATGGCACAGTAATGGAAGAAAAGTCATTTTATTTGAAGTATTTTGAGATTCTACTAAATCTGAATCAGAATATACACAAATCAGGTACTAGTGGGATACAAATCCTTGTCCGGCATCCTCTAATCATTCATCCAACAGTCATGACAGCAGTGTTTATTATGGCAGAATTATATCATTCAGTTCTTCATCTCCACTCACTTAAGAGTTAAATGGTACTAGAGTTAAGAATCTGTGCCCCATTTGTTGACGAAGAGATTTTTTGTATTTTCATGGTTTTTTCACTACCATATATACAATTGTAAAAGTTACCATCAGGCATAAATTGATGGCATATTGAAAATTCCAGATTTCAGTATGACCCATAGATAAACCAAGGGTCATTCCATTAAGAAGGGAAGACACTAACGCTGCCATCTTTGGCCGCTGCCACTACTAATATCTCCCCACAAAAGCATTAAAAACAGATCAGAGGTGGGGCTATGGAAGAGATATTTGAGGGATTGATGCATCTTTTAAGTTGACTCAGGATGAACTAAGTTTGTGCCTTTCACCTCTTTACTCAGAGAGGGTGATGGTTCCTTTATTGATAATAGTTAAGTACTCAAATTGGTCCATGAATAAATTGATCTAGTGTTTTGGACTTAATTTTTTTTCTAGACTTATACATAAGTATATAGGGTCTTTCTTTTTTGCCTCTATGCACACATAAGCAGCCAGCTGCTATACAGATGCATAAACAAACAAATGTTGTCTATGTTTCTGCACCTTCTTAATGCTTTAGCTAAGATCTTCCTAGGTTTTCATTCAAACTGAATCAATGACTACATCTTCAGTAGTAAGGTAAAGGTTTCCCCTTGACATTAAGCCTAGTTGTGTCCGGCTCTGGGTGGTGGTTTTCATCCCCATTTCTAAAACTAAGAGCCGGCATTATGCATAGATGCCTCCTAGGTAATGTAACCGGCATGACTGCATGGAGTGCCATTACCTTCCCACCAAAATGGTACCTATTGATCTACTCACATCTGCATTTTTAACTGCTAGGTTCGCAGAAGCTGGGGCTAACAGCAGGATCTCATCCCTGCTCCCTGGATTCAAACCACCGATCTTTCGGTCAGCAAGTTCAGTAGTTCAGCCTAAAGAAGCACTTTTTTAGGCCTTTTTTCTCCACTGAGGTGCTGCTTCTGGCCTTTTTGAATGTCTGTCCGGGGAAATGATAACTGGTCCTTTAAGATGCCATTAGTGCTTTCCCCTCTCTGAGGAATGACCATCAACTTATCCATGGGTCCTATCAAAATCCCCCAAATCAGTCCTTGATTTATAAATGAGATTGATTTTTACATTAATATATATAATTTACCATATATATATGGTAAATTCATCCCCATACTTTCTTATATAGCATGGCAATTTAAAGGGGGGAAATATTATAATTTGTATCCCCACTCCCTTTAAATCTTCATTAAAGAAGAATTTCTTCTTAGCAAGATCCAAATGTTTTTATCTAGGCTGCTCCTCTTTCACGTGTCCTTGTTGAATTATGCTATTACAAGAGTGAGGGTTCTTTCAGTAATACAGAATTTTCTTCTTACAGAGGGTCCTTTGGCATCTACATTATGGACTTCTAAAAACACTTTTTCATTCTCACAATGATTTAAAGAACAGTTATTGGCATCTAGATCTTTGCACAGTTTTATTTTTATCCCCCCCCCTTTTTTTCCATTGCTTGTATTTTGTGCTGCCCTGATTTTTATTGTGATTTTATATGCTAGGTTTCATATTTACCTGCACATAGCCTGGAGCGGTTTGGTTATAGGGCAGCTTAAAAGTGCAAAGAAGTCAAAATAAAAATGTTATCATCAGAAATAGCATGACTTCCCATCCTGCTGTGCAAGCATTTGATATATTTTCAGTTTTTCATATTTTGGAACGTGACCTATATTTCTCTGTCAAAGGAATCAGCACCTCATTTTGAACTGGGAAGGAGGATAGTGTTTCTACCCTAGAAAGCAGGATAAGCTTCCTTTTTTTCACAGTGGTTCCATCTTCTAATTTCACGCCAACGTACCCATCAATTTTGCTGGGGCTTAAGGCTGTGATCCTGCTTGTACTTTGAAGTATGGACCACTGAACACAGTAGACTGTCTTCCAAGCAAACATGCTTAGGACTGAATTGTGATTCTGTTGCACACTCATCATAAAGGTTAATCTGATGCATACATCCCAATAATCTTGTCCTGATTTATTTGGTCATATATTCCACTAACATCAATAGATTTCTTTTCCAGATGAGTAAATTCTGGTTCAGGGTGTTAAGTCTCAAAATTGCTTCAACAGAACTAGCAGAATAAAAGGTTTCATGGACCTTCATTATGGAACATATACTGGCCTCATTTGTCTAGTCACATCTATGAAAATGATTTATGTATAACAGCTGCTAGCAACATCTTGTAGCTTATTGCTTAAGATAAAGCAAGGACAGAAGAATTTTTTCGAATAAAAATGACAGTGTGAGAAGAAGGATGAAGATGGCTAGGTTTAATTTAGATTTAAATCTCCTATATTCAAGATTAGCTAAGCCTAAATGAGTAACAGGTGAGCAGCTTTTTTCTCTTGCATTCCTCATTTTTAAAAATGCCAAAACTGTGAAGAATGGGTGGGTAATATATCTGGTCCATTTATTGCTGGAAGTTTTGCAATTTATATTACCAAAAGCTAGGTCCTGGAAACTTTGAATTCTTAACCTGTGTTTCATTTATCCATTAAATAAGAATGCTGATGACACAATAGCAATAAGCTTATACTGAAATCAGTTTCAAGGAAGGTATCTTGGCAGCTTTGACAGTCTGGATGAGGGCAAACAAATTGAAAGTGAATCCAGACAAGACAGAGGAACTCCTGGTCACTCTTAAGGCCAACTGACCAGGGTATAGGGTTACAGCCTATGCTGGACAGGGTTGCACTCCCCCCCCCCCCGAAGACACAGGTTCACAGCTTGGGAGTTCTCCTGGACCACATCCTCCCCTACGAGCCCACATGGTCTTAAGATCTTCCTGGGATGCTCTTCTCCCGCTCCCACCCCCGTCTCAGGCGTGGTTGGTGGGGATGAGGGAAAGAGCATTCTCGGTGGTGGCCCCTCGTCTCTGGAACTCTCTTCCCCAGGGAAATCAGGCTGGCACCCTTCTTATCCACATTCCGTAAGGAACTGAAGACGTGGATGTTTCATCGCACTTTTGATTGACGATTCCTGATAGATGGCTCCTAACCATGACCTGAACTCAGTTCCTGTAACTGATTACTATATTTTTAAGTTAAGCTGTAATGATCCTGCTATAATTGCTCTATTCCTATTCTACTACTTGTTCTATCCACCTATTTTGACCAACCTATCCTTTAATTCGTTTTGCATATTGATCCCCTCTTTCCAAAAAATCAGATTAGATTTATGTTGTTGCTTATGATGTTTGTTTTTATTGTTTATTATATTGTTGTTTCTATGCTTTTTATATTTTGCTGTTCTGTTTTTAACTGTATGTTGTCTGGGCTTGGCCCCATGTAAGCCGCTCCGAGTCCCTTCAGGGAGATGGAGGCGGGGTAGAAAAATAAAGTTGTTATATTATTATTATTATTATTATTATTATTATTATTATTGCTGAGCCTGGAACCTCAGGATTTTGGTGGTGGTCAAAGAAGCATTCACACAAAACTTGTGTGCCAGCTGCACCCCTACCTTGAGAAGCCAGACTTGGCCACAGTGGTCCATACTCTCATCACATCTCATTTTGATTACTGCAGCACGCTCTACCTGGGGTTGCCTTTGAAGACTGTTCAGAAGTTTCAAATAGTCCAGCGGGTGGCAGTCAAGTTGCTCACTGGAGCGGTGTACAGGGAGCACATAACCACCCTGTTGCGTTAGCTCCACAGGCTGCCATTCTGCTACCGAGCACATTTCAAACTGCTGGTTTTAGCCTATACATCCCTAAATGGTTCTGGTCCAGCTTACCTGTCCAAATGCATCTCCCCGTATGAGCCAGCTAGAACACTAAGATCTACCAAGGACGGCCTGTTCTCAGTCCCGCTGTCTTCTCGATGGTGCCCCTTGGCTGTGGAACTCCCTCCCCAGGGAGATCAGATTGGCCCCGTCCCTTAGGAAACAACTTAAGACCCAGATATTTACGGAGACATTTGGTAAATGACAAAAACATGTGAATATGGAAGTACTTAAAGATATCCTCAGGATTGTGCAAGGCCTAAATATGTTATGTATTGTGTGTGACTATTGTTTTATAGTTTTATAATTTTAATGGTTTTAATCTATTTTTGTGGTTTTGATATGTGTTGTTTTGTACATGGAAGGCATTGAATTTTGCCATTGATTATGTTGGAAGCCACTTCGAGTCCCCCTAGGGGTGAGAAAAGCAGTATTTAAGTGCAATAAATAAATAAATACTAGTCATATGCAAAAGAAATGTCAAGAAATGTCAATTTGGGTTCTTTATGGGACATCCAGAGCTACACTAAAAAAATCTGTAGCTTTTTCTACCTTAAGTGTGTTTTATCTTATTTCCATTTTCATATTCACAAAGTTTCAAGTATATTAAGAAGTATATTAAAGTATTTTTAAAGTTATATCTACATATCTCTGTGTTATTTTATCTCACAGTTTTTTTAAAAAAAAATAGACTAACATATTTTGTGATTTTAATATTTAATTTCATGGATGTTGTCCACACTGACAATCTGGGACTTAAGAATTTATGTGTACAGAATTATTTGAGTGTGACTTATCAGTCCTTTTAATGGTATGTGTGTGGTTTTATTTGGATCTGATATATACAAAAGTGGCTTCTGTAGAGAGGGGATATAAAGACATGAAATAATAAGTAATTTCTTTCAAAACAGGCATTCTAAAACACG